AGAGGAGCGTCAGGACACACCCAATGCCCAGTGGCATGCCAGCCCATGACAGCATGGGGGGCGCACAGAGGAGGTCGTGCACACGGCAGCCGGCTCAGGGAGTAACTGGGAACAGGCAATGCTGAGATGTGACAGCCCCCATCGCTAGGGCTCTGTAAACAGGGACGAGTACACGTGAGTGTGGTCACATGGAACGTTCTGGGAGCGTTCTGCTCCGGGAACCACTGAAGACAGAACAGTATGTGCCCTGCAACCCCCCGTGGATGAGACTGCAGAAGAGGCAAACGTGCACAAGCAGGACAGCGAGGACGGTGGTCAGGAGCTAAGAGATCCCCGCAGCGCGGCCGCTTCCACAGAGCCGGCCACCGCCGCAGCACGACCCCTGCAGACAGGCCTTCCTCTCACACGAACCCCACGGAGCCCAAGAACTCACACCCTCCGTGTTCGGCACGGGTGGGGGCCCCAACGTGAGGATCGCGAGCGGCCAGAGCAGCAGGCTCTGCAGGCCCCGCTCCTTCCTGGCTCACCGTGACCACAGCACCCGCAGCACCCGCACTGCCCCCCGTCCGGGAGCCCCGTGTGCCCAGCTCGCCTGCAGCCCACACACAGGGAGGGTCGGTCCTCAGGCCACATGCGCACATGTCCCACCGCTAACACCCAGGGAGTGGGGCCGCGCGGGGAACCCTGCCCGCTGGGGGCGTGTGGGTCACGATCAGCAGGTGCACGCACGGTGGAAGGCTGAGCTGCTGGGACGCTGCCGAGGTCAGAGGAGCCGCCCGTGCCCCTCCTGCCCTGGCCCCGGAGGTGCTGATCCAGGGAGCGGCCGGGCAGTGTGACATCCCCAGCACGTCCCCAGGAGCGGCGTCCACGGCACAGCTCCGCGCCAGCATGCACCCCACTGCCCCGCAACCACCCCGCCGGCAGCCCAGGGCTCCCTGAGCCCACCGCGCCGCCACACGCTCCCAGCAGGGATCCGGGAGGGGAGCTGGGTCAGCAGTGACGCACACGGTGTGCACCCGCCACCCCCAACGGGACGCTGGAGCGGGAGCTGCGCGCAGCGTGGCCCTCCGTCTGCAGTAAAGCGGGAGCTACAGAAGCACACCGGCACGCAGCAGCCGGGGAGCGCGGAGTCCGCTCGACGCACAGATAAACCGCAAGACCAGGCGCGGGTGAACCCGGACACCACACGCACGTCCAGCCTGCACACACCACGAAACACAGAAAGCGCACCTGGCAAACACACGAGAGCTGCGAAAGTGCCCAAAGTGCAGCAGAAGCGAAGGCACGTGAATGTCTCGTTTCCCCAAAATGTAGGTGACACCGTTGGTGAGGTTACTCCTATAGCACAGCAAGCAGGAGATGCCCGGGGCAACCGTGACCCATGGGCCCCCAACCAGTGACCTCGAACCCGACCCTCTGAAACCGTGCTAAAGGACACTGTGCTCCTAGAACCTGACCGACGTCATCAAGTGTCCCGGTGAGCCCGTCACAGAGCTTCCTGCGGCCTGCACGGCGGCCAGGAGGTGCCGTGTGCCGTGGTGGTGTGTGTGCGTGCACACGGCGCCCGCGGGACAGGCTCTGCACAGAAGGCGCCATCCAGACTCTCTGCAGGCACATGCACACACCCGCACGCAGATGCGCATGCACGCACACGTACATACACAGGACGCCCACAGGAGGGGCTCTGCACGGAAGGCGCCATCTAAGTCCCTGGCAGGCACGTGCACACACCTGCACACGGAGATGTGCGCGCGCACACACACACGACACCCACAGGAGGCTCTGCGTGGAAGGCGCCCTCCAGGCCCCTGGCAGGCACATGCTCGCACCCGCACACTCAAACGTGCACACACACACACACGATGCCCACAGGAGGCTCTACGCGGAAGGCGCCCTCCAGGCCCCCAGCAGGCAGGTGCTCACACCTGCACACAGACTCACGCACACAGCGGGCATCCAGGGGCCGTGTACAGCCCTCGCGTGTGCACACACACCTTTCCTCCGCTCGCTGCCTCTCCTCGGCCTCTTTCTCTCTGCGCTTTTGCTCTTCCCTCTGCTGTTCCAACTCCTGAAGCTTCTGCCTCTCGAGCTGCCGCTTCTTAATGGAGCTGTCACTCAGGTGTTTGGTGGAGTCGAAGGAAACCTTCGGGAGAACAGAGCGCAGTGACCCATGGGCGCGCCGCAGGACAGGCGGCCCCAGGCGGCCCACTCCGGGGCAGGGAACCCCGCCCCCACAGGTGGCCCCACCCAGGACGTGGGGTCGCAGGCAGGCGCGCCTCAGGTGAAGCCCGGATGCCAGCGGGGCGCGCACTCTGAGACACGGCTGGCCTGCCCCGTTTGCTGGCAGGGAAGCCCGTCACGCTCCTCAGGGACAGCGTGTCCCCCTCCCCCCCCCCGCCAGCAGGGCCCCTCCGTCCCCTGGACCTGCACCACCAGCCGGCCGCCACAGGCCCCCCTCCGCCGCCGAGGGCCCCCGCAGCCTGGCTCCTCCGCGGGGCCGCCTGTGCGCCTGCCCACACCCGGAGCCACATGCCACATGAGGGGCACGCTGCCCCCCACCGCCCGCAGCAGGTGGCCCGGCGGAGGCTCACCTTGATGTTGCACGCCACGGCCTTTCCGTCCTCCCCCTTGTACATGAGCTTCATGCCGCGCAGGGCGCTCATGGCCTGGATGAAGCCCACGTACTCGCGGTACTGCACGTAGGCCTCAAAGTTCAAGTGGCCCCCGAAACTGAAGGTGTGGAAGTTGCGCCCGGTCATCTCCTCGCGGTAGGGGTCCAGCATGGGGATGTCCACGTTTCGGATCTCCCCGAACTTCTCAAACACCTTGACCAGGACCTCCTCGCTGGGCTTCTCAGAGCCCGACTCCTTGAGGGCGAACCACTTGCAGGGCAGCCCCTCCAGGTGGATGGTGTCCGGCCGCTCCCCGGGCAGCGTCTCGTTCATGTCCTTGGCATCACGGAAGAAGGAGTCCCAGTCGTGGCGGGTGGGGAAGTCGATCTTGAACTCGGCGGCGCGCACCTTGAGGATGTCGGAGAAGCCGCTGAGCTTGATGGTCTTGCCGTCCAGGCAGGCCAGGAACGACTTGACCAGGCTCTTGTTCTCCACCTCGCCCTCGAAGCGGATGAAGTCCATGGTGCTCTTGGAGATGCGCAGCGTGGAGAACTGGTGGTTGTGCACCATGCCCTTCAGCCTCTCCATCACCTCCCAGTTGGAGATGGACTTCCCGGGCTGCTTCAGCTGCGGGAGCGCCACGCTGATGGTCATCTTCGTGATGGGCTTCAGGTACAGGCCGTACGGGGGGCACAGCTCCACCGCCTCAGACGTGTCGTGGACTATGGTAGCCGCGGCCATAGCCGGGACCTCGGGCCTGAAACAGACACGGGCGGTCAGGGTGGGCGTGGAGAGCAGCGTGCACGCGCCCAGCCCCACGGCAGGCCTGCGGACACAGGCGTGCTTCTCTGCCGTGCCACGGGCACACCTGTTCGCTGCACTAAAACATGCCGTCACCTGCCCTCACGTTTTAGTCAGAGGAAACCAGGCTGACGGGAACCTCTAAGAGCAGCCGAGTGCGCCAGCCTTTGTGGGTGCCCAGCAGCAGCAGCAGGGCTCCCAGGGCCACGGACCAGCACTGCTGGGGGCTCCCACTGCCGTCCACGGCCGAGAGGCGGACTGGCAACAGCACCCAGGTCCCCTGGGCTGCAGGCTCAGAGGCTGGGGCAGGAAGGGGCAGGAAGGCGCTCGGCTGCAGCCAGGGGAGGGTGTGCGCAGGTGGTGGCCCGGAGGAAGCAGGAAGGAAGTTCCCGGCCGACACATCCAACGACAACTGCCCCGTGGACTCCCGTTCCCTCCTCGCCCGCCGTCAAGAGACAAGCACAAGGGCCCCTGCACAGCTGGGGCTCTGTGTGGGCACCGGTCCTCTTATGCCCTCTCTGACCCCCCCTCCTGCTCGGACCAGTGCGCGGCTTCCGGAGAGATCCGAGCTGCACGCACGAGCCCAAACGATACAGGTGGCTGCCTCCGCCGCCACCCACGGGCTGGGGAGCTTCCCCACAGGCCCTGAGGCTCAGGTGGGGAGGGGTGTGCAGGGCACAGGAGCCCCCAGCCCGATCTAGGGGGTGCAGTAGGACAGTGACCTCCACAGAGGAGCAGCTGCAGGGCAGAGGGGCTGCCAGCCCGGTCTAGGGGGAGCCCCACACCAGAGAGTGCAGTAGGGCAGTGACCCCCACAGAGAAGCAGCTGCAGCGCAGAGGAGTCCCCAGCCTGGTCTAGAGGGGAGCCCCACATGGGGGCGTGCAGTAGGACAGTGACCTCCACAGAGGAGCAGCTGCAGGGCAGAGGGGCTGCCAGCCCGGTCTAGGGGGAGCCCCACACCAGAGGGTGCAGTAGGGCAGTGACCCCCACAGAGAAGCAGCTGCAGCACAGAGGAGTCCCCAGCCTGGTCTAGAGGGGAGCCCCACATGGGGGCGTGCAGTAGGACAGTGACCTCCACAGAGGAGCAGCTGCAGGGCAGAGGGGCTGCCAGCCCGGTCTGCAGTAGGGCAGTGAACCCCACACAGGGTGTGCAGGGCAGAGGAGTCTCCAGCCTGTTCTAGGGTGGAGCCCCACACTGGGCGGGGGGGTGTGCAGTAGGGCAGTGACCTGCACACAGGGGGTTGCTCAGGGAACCCCGGCCTCCCAGATCCCCTCCCTCTCGCACACCGCACCCCTCCCCAGCACCTGGCCAGCACACCCCAGCCCAACCACCCACCCAAGTTCCCGCCGCCCTCGCAGGCTCCAGACCCGCCCAGGGCGTCTGCCCCGACGCCCCCTCCCCGCTCCCCGCAGCTCCTAGGCTAGGCTCTCTGGACCCCATGGTCTCCCCACGCCCAGCCCCGCAGACACCCCACACCCCCTAACGTCCTCAGGGCCCCAGGCCATCCGCAGCCCCCCGGAGCCCGGCCCCCTGCAGACACGGCCCCGGGGCCCCTGATCGTCCAGGTCCCAGCCCACCCCGCCGCAATGACCCCCTGCCCCACCGAAGCTGACGTCCTACCCACCAGCCCCGGCAGCCCTCCACCCCGGGGCCCCAGGAGCTCCCACACCTCGCAGACCCCGGCCCCCCCGAAGCCCCGCCCCCGCAGCGCCCAGACCTCGGAGGCCCCTCCTCCTGTGCCCCAGGTGCCCCCGCAGACTCCGCCCCCTGGAAGCCCCGCCCCCGTCGACCCTCTCCGTGCCCCTGGAAGCCCCGCCCCCGCAGCACCCAGACCTCGCAGACCCCTCCCCCCTGCCCCGCAGACTCCGCCCCCTGGAAGCCCCGCCCCCGCAGCGCCCAGACCTCGCAGACCCCTCCCCCTGCGCCCGCAGACTCCGCCCCCTGGAAGCCCCGCCCCCGCAGCGCCCAGACCTCGCAGACCCCTCCCCCCTGCCCCGCAGACTCCGCCCCCTGGAAGCCCCGCCCCCGCAGCGCCCAGACCTCGCAGACCCCTCCCCCTGCCCCGCAGACTCCGCCCCCTGGAAGCCCCGCCCCCGCAGCGCCCAGACCTCGCAGACCCCTCCCCCTGCGCCCGCAGACTCCGCCCCCTGGAAGCCCCGCCCCCGCAGCGCCCAGACCTCGCAGACCCCTCCCCCCTGCCCCGCAGACTCCGCCCCCTGGAAGCCCCGCCCCCGCAGCGCCCAGACCTCGCAGACCCCTCCCCCTGCCCCGCAGACTCCGCCCCCTGGAAGCCCCGCCCCCGCAGCGCCCAGACCTCGCAGACCCCTCCCCCTGCCCCGCAGACTCCGCCCCCTGGAAGCCCCGCCCCCGCAGCGCCCAGACCTCGCAGACCCCTCCCCCTGCGCCCGCAGACTCCGCCCCCTGGAAGCCCCGCCCCCGCAGCGCCCAGACCTCGCAGACCCCTCCCCCTGCGCCCGCAGACTCCGCCCCCTGGAAGCCCCGCCCCCGCAGCGCCCAGACCTCGCAGACCCCTCCCCCTGCCCCGCAGACTCCGCCCCCTGGAAGCCCCGCCCCCGCAGCGCCCAGACCTCGCAGACCCCTCCCCGCAGTGCCCCCGGTACGCGCCTCCCTTCGCACACACCGGCCGCCCTGGAAGCCCCGCCCCCGGAGCACCCAGACCCCTCGCCGCTCTCCCCGGTGTCCCCGGTGCCCTCGCAGACCCCGGCCCACCCCGCAGAAGCCCCGGCCCCCATGCACCCCTCCCCTCGCTGTCCCCCGTGCCCCCGCCCTCGCAGACCCCAGCTCCCCGCCCCCGGAGCACCCAGACCCCTCGCCGCTCTCCCCGGTGTCCCCGGTGCCCTCGCAGACCCCAGCCCACCCCGCAGAAGCCCCGGCCCCCATGCACCCCTCCCCTCGTTGCCCTCCATGCCCTCCGCCCTCGCAGACCTCGGCTCCCCCACCGGAGCACCCAGACCCTCGCCGCTCCCCCCGGTGACCCCGGTGACCCCGGCCCACCCCCGGAAGCCCCAGCCCCCGGAGCGCCCGTCCCTTCGCTGCCCCCGGATGCCCCCGGAGCCCCCCGCCCTCGCAGACCCCGGCCGCCCGGAGCCCCCAGACCCCTCCCCTCGGTGCCCCCGGAGCCCCCGCCCTCGCAGACCCGGTAGACCCCTCCCGTGGGTGCCCCCGGTGCCCTCCGCCCTCGCAGACCCCGGTTCCCGGCTGCCCCCCGGAGCCCCCAGACCCGGCAGACCCTCCCCTCGGTGCCCCCGGTGCCCTCCGCCCTCGCAGACCTGGTTCCCGGCTGCCCCCGGAGCCCCCGCCCTCGCAGACCCCGGTCCCCGGCTGCCCCCGGGGCCCCCACACCCCGTCCCCGTCCCCCCGGTGCCCCCCGCCCTCGCAGGCGGCCCCTCCCGGAGCACCGAGACCCCTCGCCCGTCCCGTCGGTGCCCCCGGTGCCCTCGCAGACGGCCCCCGAACCCCCGGCCCGCAGAGCGCCCCTCCCCCTCGGTGCCCCCGGTGCCCCCCGCCCTCACACACCCCGCCCCCCCCGCCGGAAGCCCCGGCCCCGTCCGCGGAAACGGCTGGTCACGGGGTGTCGCTCACCGGCGCGGGGCTCCGCCTGCGCCCCCGGCCACCGCCGCCCAGGCCCGAGCTCACCGCCGACCCGCCACGACCCCGCAGCCGCGGCCTCTCCGCCCGGCGCCGCCACCCTCCGCCGGAGGCGCCCCCGACGCCACTCGCCGTCGCCGCCGCCCGCCCCTGTGACGCACTTCCGCTTCCGGCGCTCGTGGCCGCGGAAGCGGCCGCGCGGCGGCTCCCCGTTTCGTCTGCCGGGCCTGGCCCCGCCCCGGAGGCGGGACTTCCGGGAGGCCTCCGCGAGGGGGGGGCGGGCCGGCCCGGGCTTGGCACTGCGCGTGCGCGAGTCCGCCCCGCCCCCCGGCGCCAGCTGTGCCCGCGTCCAGCCGGAGGCCTCACCTGGGGCCGCGCCGTCTGCGGCAGGTGCACGGGCCGCGCTCGCGCCCCTCGCGCTGTCGGGACCACGCACCGCCTGCCGCCGCGCCGCACGGTCAACGCGGAGCTCACTCATCTACTACTTAGTTACTATTATTTACTACGCGTCTGGATTGCGGAATAGGAGTTACAATGTAACCACGTCGAAGTCTGTAACGGGATAGACACCCACGTCTTCGTGCTTCAGCACCCTCACGTCTCTCCTTCTCGTGTAGTTTATTCTGACACACAATTCACTTTGAAATATGATTTATTTCTTAGACATTTAAAGTGTTTTAAGTGAACATTCTTATTTCACTTATTCATTTAAATGAACATATTCATGCACATGCATATGCTCATTATAAAACTTGCAAATCCACATAAAACACTTTCAATATGTAATATGTCATAATCTTTAACACACGTATCTGTAAATGGTGCATTAAGTTAACACATTAAGCTCCCACAGTAGGCGAGACACTGTTGAGGGAGGGGCACGTGGGTGGCTCCGGCCTGGTGAGCCTCCAACTCTTGTTTTCAGCTCAGGTCATGATCTGGGGAGCATGGGGTCAAGCCCCCTAACCCCCCGGGTGGGCAGGCTGAATGTCCAGCGGGCCATCCTGCTTCTCCTTCTCTCTCTCCTCCGCCCCCCTCGTCACACACTCTCAGTCTCGCTCTATCAAATAAATAAAATCTTAAGGAAAAAAAAAAAAGTATGTCACAAGACCGCCAAGTGAAAATCCAGGGTGGCAGAGCAAGCACACAGATCCTCTGTCGCTTGCACAGGTGCCAAAACCTGAGCTTCGGAGGGGGCCGGAGTGGGTGCGGGGACCCTGGTGTCACGTGGGGCTCCTGGCTCTCTGGGTGTCTGCTAGGTGTGAGTCACGTCGTCTGGGTGTCTTCTGCGTGTGAGTCACGCCGTGCTGTTCATAAGCCGCCCGTGACAGCGAACATGATCACGCTCCCCTGGCGAGGAGGACACAGAGGGTCTGCGGGCCCCGGATTGGGGGGCGGGAATAGGGACCAGTCTTTGAACCCACACAGGCTTCCGGGTGGCAGGTGCGGCTTTGCCGTCCTTATGTAACTCCTCCTCCGTGTTGGGAAGGGAGAGGTGCTTGGGATTCTGGTTAAAACCTTCTCCCCAAGGCTGCTTGCGAGGCGATGGCGCGTTTCCCCGGGGAACTGTTAAATTTGGAAACTGTTTTTCCGCTCTGTTCTCTGAAGCATTTGCAAAGCAAATTAAGAAATGAGATACTCTTTCAGGACCTGCACACCTAAGACGCGGTCGTAAGAATTTAAAAAAAAAAAAAGTTCAAGGAAAACTCTTCTGTGTTTGAGCAAGATACCCCTCTTCTGGATGCACCTCAGAAATAGAGAAACAAAGTCCCTAATACCTGCAGCTCTGCCCTAGTGCGCTAGTATGGTGAGTGCATAGCTGCATAAGTTACCCTCGCTGAGTGGGGATGAAGGCTGGCAGGATGATGGGATTCGCTCCCGGGGTGCTATGCCGAAGGTGAAGGCATTTTGCAGTTGTCATTAAAGTCCGTAATGAGTTCGTGCAAGCTAATCAGAAGCAAAAATCCGTCCTGGGTGGGCCTGGCCCAATCAGGTTAGAAGTCAGGATTAAGACAGGCGTGAGATCTGCAGCAGCTGAGACACAGCCTGCTTGCCCTGAAAAAGAATCAAACCGCCTTATGGAGAAGATCATTTGGCAGGAACTGCCGGGTGGCCTCTAGGAGGTGAAGGTGTCACCGCTCCCACCACAGGGAACTGAGTTCTGCTAGTAACCAGTTAGCTTGTAAGACAGCCCGGCGTCTCCAGGGAGACCCCACCGTCCCCGTGCTGGTTGACGTCTTCCCTCCGTGTGTGTCTGTCTCTAGGCCTCTGCTTCTCCTAAGGACACCAGTCATGCTGGGTTAGAGCTGACCGTAGGCCACCATGACCGTAGGCCACCATCACCTTCCTTTAACCGCTTGGGGCTGACACACAGAGGGACCAGTCCCAGGCTAGATGTGGGCATTCGATGATGCACCCCAGGAACTGAGACCAGGCAACTGGTCTAAACGCAGAACCAATCCAATTCTGGCTCCACTCTAGATGACACACTTCCCTCCTGCTTACACACCTCCCCCCTTGTGTGGATAGCTTTCACTTTGACCCAGATTCGGGGATTCCATCAAGTTTGTCCTACAAGAAAAGTGCTTGAGGATGTAAATATGTAGATCTACAAATGTTTGCATATATGAATATGTATCCATCTACGTATCTATCTACCTATCAATCTCCATCCATCCATCCATCCGCCTATGTACTCATCTATTTATCGCCAATTCATCCCCTCACCCATCCATCCATTCATGCATCTACCCATCCATCCATGTGTATCTCCATTTGTCCACCCAACTACCCACTCAATCCCTCCATGCACCCTCCCCGTACCCATCATCCACTAATCTACCCATCTATCATCCATCCACCCATCCACCCATCTATGCATCCATCCACCCATCTATCCATCCATCAAGCCACGTATCCATCCATCCACCATCTATGCACCCATCAGCCCATCTATCCATCCAACAACCCATCTACCCACTTATCCACCCCCTCACTGACATCTCCATTCCACCATCCAACAATTTATACATCCAGCCCTCCCTCTGTCCCTCCCTCTACCTCATAAATCATGCCTCTGAAGCCTTCATTCGAAACAACTCCTTTCCACCAGGTGGCGCACCCACCACCCTAACGAACACTGGTGGGAGCTCTGCCGTTTTAATCCTCTAGTGTGGTTGGAAGCCAAGGTCTTGAGGGTCACTTAGTTAATCCCTCATCCATCCTCAGCAGAGACCTGTCCAGTGGTTTCCCATGAACGTTACCCTATTTACGAAATCCACCCTAGGCAACTCGTGCTCTTCCTGGAAAGTTCTCTATCGATCCCAGAACTTTTAACTCAACAAGTGCCTGACTAGTTCTAAAGCAGCAAGATAAAAAGGGAATTCTGTTGTCTCCGCACCATGAGGGGGAGGCCCTGTGGGAACTTTACGCTCTCCTCTGCTGGTTTTGGGAATGTTAACTTCCCTGATTTTCCAAAGGAAATTGAACAATGTCTATTAATTACCATTTCTAATGTGCCCACATTCTCTTCGATTCGGCAATTCCGTTGCTGGTAATTCATCCCAGAGAATTATTCCCTGCGGGTATACAAAGAAACATGTGCAAGTTATATTGCACCGTATGTCTGTACATACCCAGATACTTATATAGGTATGTGCAGCACATTCATGTATTAGGGGTATCTGGATTAAACATATATATTTTTTAAGGTATACAAAGCACATGTGCAATTAATGCTTCCAGCAGCATTAATTATGAGAATTGGAAGCAGTTCAATGTACACATACATGGTTCTGAGTCAGCCACATATTGCACCCTTACGCTGAGTCAGGCATCATTGTACTCACCCAAGAGGAGGCGACATTACAGGAAGATGGCATGTTGCAGATATGTCACAGGCTCCCAGTGTTGTGATGGTTTGGTATTCCATGGTGACTTCAGAGTGTGCAACAGCACTTGGGGGTGGTGGAACCATGGCACTGGAAAAGATGGAGAAAGGGGGATGAAGAAGGATAGAGGACTTGTAACTGAATCAAAGGTGTCCAGCTGAATTGCGGGGTCATGGGTAGGAAGGATAAGAATGACCCCGAGGTCCCCGGCTCTGGCCACTGCGTGAGACTGACGACATACACTTCATCATAGGAAAATCAATTAGGAAAAGGCTCTGTTTGACGCAGGAAGGAGGCAGGTAAGTCCAGTTGGCATGATGTTGGTTTGGAGACGCCTGAAGCCCTGATGGAACTGCCCAGTAAGATCCGGAGGTCTGAGTGAGTCCAGGAGGAGGAAGAACCATGACATTGGAGCTGCAACTAAGCCATCCATCCTTCCATCTACCAATTCAACTATCCCTCCATCCATCCATCCACCCATTCAATCATCAATCCATCCATCCATTCATCTATCCAACAATTCAATTATCCATCTATCCATCCATCCAGCAATTCATGCATCCACTCATTCACCCATCCACCCATCCACGCATCCACCCATCCACGCATCCATCCACCTATCCACCCATCCATCTATACTAGCATCGATCTGTGACAAGTTGCGTGGGATATTGCCAACCTAGGAAGATCACCTGAGCCTTGCCATCCAGTTTAAAAAAAAAAAAAACACTTGATGACATACTCTCGTTGTGGCTGACCTTTAGTCTCACCTCCTTCTGGAGGTTCACGATAATATCTTTAGTCTTCACACCCTCTTGGAGGTTAAGACTAATAAAGCATGTCTCGAAGCCCTCATCATAAACCACATCACTACATGGTCAAGTGATCAAAGCTCCCAGGCAGACAAAGACAGGACAGGACATGTCGTGGCCTGGACATCACCTACCAGGAGCCGGGGCATAGACCAGACCTCCTTTTATGTCAGGCTGAGTCTTCACCACATGAAAACAAAGTGCACAAGTCCTACAATTTATGGTAAGCAGTTTGAAAGGAGACTCGAAATAAAGCATGGCTAGGACAGGGAGGAGTCCCCTCAAGAGATCACGGCAGAAGCCTTAAGGGCGGATGTGCACGACAGCTTGTTGAAGGAAGTTGAGGGTATCCTGGCCTCTGGGGGCAGAGTGGTTTCCCCTAGGCAGGTACTGGGGAGTGGGGCGTGCTTGAATATGCTTGTAGGACTGACTTTCCATGAGAAAGATCCTACAAACCTCCTGCGGGCTCCCACGCAGAATGGAGCTCTTGTGGGTCTAGGGGCAAAGCTGAACCCACAACCAGCTCTCCGCATCCAGGTGGAGGCTGTGGTTGTGTCTCACTGGGTTAAGCCCAACCTAATCCCCTACGTCCCTCACCCACGTGGCCTGTCCAGATCGTACAGAGAAACGTGGTGTTTCCTGGACCTGAATGTTTGTTCGCAGAGTGTCCCCCTCTGTTCATTCTAAGACTGACTCTACATGTCCTACATGGTTTGTTCCTGCTTTAGAGACATGGGTTTGGTGTCTTCATGCCTTGGGTTTATCTACATGGGTTCAAATACGGGTTTAGTGCTTCTCTGTGATTTCTCGAAAGAGGAGTAGGAAAATCAGATGTAGAGATCAGATCAAAGGGCAGCCTCAGAACAAGAGATAAATATGCAAAACCAAGATACAGAAGTGTCCCTTCCTTTGAGAGAAATGGTGTCCTCGTACTTCTCACCAGCGTACAGGACTTCTGCTTTTCTCTCCTTAGGGTCATTGGGGTATGATCCAGAATAGCGTGTAAGATGCCAGGCTAGCGAGAACTGAACCAGGAAGGAGTGTGGCCTTCAGAGCAAACTGTGCAGGGATGGGCCACCTGGAAAGTTCGAGTGACAAGTGACCATTGGGAGAGGCCCAGGAGAGCGGCCCCATTATGAGGCCTCCAACAAATAAGGCCTACCAGGGAGACCTGTAGGCAGGGTCCAAGCCTGAGACATCACTGAAAATTCCAGTGACCAGATAACTGAGGTAGGATCCAATGTCAGAGCTCTGGCAACCTCTGTACTCTCCATCCACTCATATCCCCCCATCTATTCACCCATGCATCCACCCACTCATCCATCCATATACTCATCCATCCATCCATCCATCCATCATCCATCCATCATCCATTCATCCATCTACCCCTCCATCCATCCATCATTCATCCATCCATGCATCCATCTACCCATCCATCCATCTGCCCATCCATCCATCTACCCCTCCATCCATCCATCATCATCCATCCATCTGCCCATCCATCCATCTGCCCATACATCCATCTACCCCTCCATCCATCCACCCATCCATCCATCTGCCCATCCATCTACCCCTTCCATCCATCCATCCACCCATCCATCCACTCACCCATCTCTGCATCCACCCACCCATCTATCATCCATTCATCCATCCATCCACCAATCTGTCCTTCCAGATTTACATTTCTACCCTCTTGACTTTAACGGGAAGCATGCTCATCACACATATTTCTCAAACCCTCCTTCGTCACCTATTTTGTGTTTCAACTGGGAATTGCCATGTGGACAATTTGTCTCGACCCAACGACCATCAGCCTCTCATGCTTAATCAATCCACCTCGCGGGTCCCGTCCCTATTCCAAACAGCAATGTTTAGCTCATCGCCAATGTCTGCAACCGCATTTGTTGTTCTCAGTAGCGTGTGAGGGGATCATCGTTGCGTTGGTCAGCGCGTCCGGGACGCGTGTTTGCATCGCCTTCCCCAAGGAGATGCACTCGGCACACAGGGAGAGTCCATGTGTTATTTGTTTGGCGCAGCAGCTGGGCTGCTCTCACATGTCGGTTACCAAGGCTTGCAGGACGCTGGGTAGCCAACATTCAAGGTGGGGCTTCCGTGGGTGTTCCGCTCCCCAGCATGAGGAGGGAAGGTGTGGCTGGTTCATTTCCTGCCTTCTTCCGGTTGCTTGTCACCTTATCAGTCACCAGGCATTGTGTGGCCACCGTGAAGACTCTCATGCTGAATCCCAGGTACGTGTAGAGCTGGGAGGGGTGTTGGCCACCACGTCCCCACTCCCTCCTTCCATGCAGCAGAGCTCAGCAGCCAGTGTAGCCAGGACTCCATGCCCATGTCCCTCCATAAACTGGCCAGTCTCCTGGTACTCACAGCATGACCCTCCCGTCCTGGGCAGCTGGAGGAACAAAACCTGACCTCCTTGCTTTTTCCCTTGTGTGTGGAAGGCCAGTGGAGACCTGCCCTGGGAGGGCAAGCTGGCCGTGCAGCAAGGGGACAATGGTGGATCAGCTGGCCCACAAAGCCCAACAGGAGCAGGATCTTCTCCCTGGGACAGTTGTCCATGGAAGCACGGTGCCCTTCACAAGCTCCACATCTCAGTCATTTCTTCCTAATAAATACCTATGAGCCTCGGTGCCAGGTGGGCAACCATCACAGGCCTCCCCTCCCCTCGTGAAGGCAGCAGAAACAATTCAGCAACCTGTCCTGCTGCGATGGTGCACTTTACCAAAGCATGCACCACCTGCATGCTTGCAATCACACCTGGCCCACTCAGGGTTCTCGGAAACCCTTTTGGAGATTGGAGAATAGGAAAGAAAAAAAAAAAGTTTTATCAGTGGCGCAAACAGGAGCCCTCCTCCCTTGGCCCCGGTCCCAAAGGCGTCAGCCCGGTTATCTTCAAACGGGTATTTTTCTGGGTGGAGGTGGAGTTCACGTCACATAAAATTCACCATCTTGAAGTGAAGGGTGCAATGGCATTTAGCGCACATGCCCCCGGTCGTGCAACCACCGGCTCTACTTAGTTCCAGAACATTCTCATGTCCCCAAAGGACACCCCCCATCCGCATTAGGCAGTCTCTCCCCGTCCCACTCCCCAGCGCCTGGCAGTCAGTAAATCACTTTTTTTTTGCCTGTAGATTCACCTGTGTTGGACATTTCATGTCAATAGAATCACTCGCCGTGCAGCCCTCGTGTGTCCGGCTTCTCTCATGAGCGTCGTATGTTCACGGTCCATCCGTGACTCCTTCGCGGAGTCATATTCTCCTCTAAGCCTTCCCCTCAAGGAAAGAAAACGCATTATTTTAGCTTTGAAAGAGAGCCACGGGGGATCCCTGGGTGGCGCAGCGGTTTGGCGCCTGCCTTTGGCCCGGGAGCGATCCTGGAGACCCGGATCGAGTCCCACGTCGGGCTCCCGGTGCATGGAGCCTGCTTCTCCCTCTGCCTGTGTCTCTGCCTCTCTCTCTCTCTCTGTGACTATCATAAATAAATAAAAATTAAAAAAAGAAAAGAAAGAGAGCCACGGGGCGTCATTCCGCGGATTTTGTAAACCAGATTTGTTCTCAGCAAGAGTTCTGGGAGCAGGTGTGAAGCCGACAGTCCCCCTGTGAAAGCCCACCTAGCAGGCGCCCGGGTACCTGCGGGATGGGCAGGTGCAATGCGTCAGACCTAGAAAGCTGCGCGTTGCATGAACAACAGCTGCGGACGAGTGACAGGACCCCGCGTGGGCCACGCCACCGTCATCAGGGTTCAGAGATGTACCTGCAAGACTGTAATACCGAGATTGTACTACCTGCGAGAAAAGGAATGCCCCGGCTCAGGCGTGGCCACTGGAAGGTTTCGGGGAGAGGGGAGGACCAGATGGGGTTTGTTCTTTGCCTCGTAGGCCTTGCGTTCTCCGTGGGGTCCTCCGGCGGTCGGCTCCCTGCAGACAGATTTTGCTCTGCTCTGCATGAATCATATAAACAAACAGGTGAGCCCTCCAGCTTCTCGGCGCGTGAGGCCATCCGTTCATCATGGTTAATTCTACATGTCACCCTGGCTGGGGCATGGCGCTCAGATACGTAGCCAGGTACTATTCTGGGTGTTTCTGTGATGCTATTTTGTGATGGCACATTGAAATCAGTGGATTTTGAGTCGAAGACATTGCCTTCCCTAACGTTGGTGGGCCTCGTCCAATCAGTTGAAGAAGACAAACGCACAGAAAATGAGGTCCCCAGAGCACGAAGGAATTCAGGCTGCAGAACAGCCTTCGGGCTCAAACCATCGGTCTTCATCGGGTCCCCAGACTGCTGCTTCCACCTGCAGATTCTGGAATTGCATCTGCACAAGTGTGTGAGCCGACCCCTTAAAATAAAGCTCTCTCTGTATCTATGCATCTCACTGGCCCAGCTCAATAGACAGACACCCACGTACATAGATGATTGATATGTAAATGATGGATAAATACATAGATACATGGATGAAGGATGGATGCATGGGTGGCTGGGGGGGTGGGTGGATGGATGGATGGATACATAGATACATAGCTAATGGATAGTTAGATGATGGATACATGGGTGATTGATAAACGACGGCTGGTGGATAGATACAGAGATGCCACATAGGGAGATACGTCGATAGATGATGGATACATAAATGACAGATAAGCATATAGATGCATAGATGGTGGATGGATGGATGGTGGATCGATCGATCAATCGATGGATAAATGGACAGATGGATGGATGGAGGATGGATGGTGGATGGATAGAAATGATTGACAGGTAGATGATGGATCAATACAGATCTCACACACACACACACAGACACACACACACAAGCGCAGACAGACAAATGAGCCTGTTTGCTCCATTTCTGAGCTCTGGAAAACAGGAGAGTCTGAGAAGCAGGGAAGACGTGCCCCTGGCCCCAAGCAGGTCTGTGTTCACTGTGACCACAGGACTTGAGACGAGGGGTGGTGTCACGCTGATCCCAGAGGAAAACCCCAAACCACATAGGGTGGGTGCAGTCTGTGGGTGGACCCACAACTACCAGACAGACGCCTCAGGATCAGCCCCTTGACTGTTGCAGAAGCTCGCGGAGATCCTGGACACCCAGGCAAGCCCCCGACACCCCACCCCTGCTGCAGACCAGCCCTCCTTGGGAGCTGAGGGCTTCGGGAAGCCTGTCGAGGAAGGAGCGGGGCTGGCGGAGACCCCTCAGGAGGCCGACTGGCGGCCCGGCCCTCCCGCAGCGCTGGTGCTGCATTCAGGGCCCAGGGAGGCCCCACGTCCAGTCGTGGCCACCCGTGCTGAGGGGTCAGGGTGATGCAAGGTGAGCACAGAGAAGGCAGCGGCGGTACCGCCACCCGTCCCCCCTACCAGTGACATGCTAGGCGGCCTGTCTCCTGGGGTCGCCCTGGGCCGTGACAGTTTCTCAGACGCGCCTCAGTGCTGGGGAGCTTTTGGCATTTTGGAGGCCTGCTGGCCGGGGATTTTGTAGGACGCACCACTGTTGGGGTTTACTCGTGTGGGTGCTCTTCTCGCGGTGAGACTGGGGTTGTGGGTTTCGGGGAGCAACAGCACCGAGGGGACGCGGCTCTGTGGTCACCTCGTATCCCGCGCACCTGCTCTCCGCCCGACTCGTCCCCGTGGACGCCAACCTTGACCACCAGGCCCCGGCGTCTCTGCCGGGTGTCTCCACTCTCAGGCCACAACTTCCCCAGCCATGTCCTCCCAGGTCCCACACCACCTGATCCCCCACTAGACATGCACTCCTTTGGCGTCGATGAGGTCGTTCCCGAAGCCTTCAGAACACGCGTCGATTAACAGGAGCCACTTCATGAACTTTACCTCCAGGCAAGACGAGACCCGGGATGAGGAATCCCAAGGTCAAATAGGGAAGAGCGCCCTGACCTGGTGGGTTCAGCAAGCGGATAGGGCCCCTGAGGATTCGGGACGCCTGGCGGGGCCCAGGTGGAGCCACACCTGCAGCTCCAGGGCTCTGTCCCCGTGCGCTTTCTCACTGACGCGGTGGCTGTGTCCCGAATCCCCATCCTGTGTGCACAGCAAGCCCTGAAGCACACGTATGTCTGGCGTTCACAAGCTCTCCGCGGCGCGGGTGTCTAAAAACGAGCCAGGCGTGCACGTGGGAGGGTCGCGACGGCCACCCACCTGCCGGGTTATCGATGACCCCACCCCAGAGCGCTTCCCAGCGTGGCCCCTGGGGCGCAGAGCCCAGTCCAGGTCGGACTCCCCGCAGATGGTTGCGACAGAGCGCCGCACGTTTGCCAAGGACGGGGTGCGTGTGCGCCTGGGTGTACCCAGGCCCGTGTGCATGTGACCGTCACGGCTTTGTCCGGGGGCACAGGTGCCAAGGGGCAGCTGTGACATCGCACCAGAGACGCACCCACCGTGCTGCTTCATGGGAAACGCACGCCAAGACGCTCGGAGTCTGCAGAAATGTGGATAAAGTGTGCTGTGTGCGATGTTATATAAAAACTATATTATATGGTGTATGGATCATGTTATATCGTACATAGACTATTATGTATCGATTATGTCACATAGATTATATTAGGTCATACACGCTTGTATACCACTGGTGTATTATATAATCTATCATATATAATACATAAGTACAGCATTTAAAAATGTATATAATTATATATTACATGGTATATATGTTAATATATTATGATTATATGTTTGGGGGATCCCTGGGTGGCTCAGCGGTTTAGCAGCTGCCTTCAGCCCAGGGCGCGATCCTGGAGTCCCGGGATCGAGTCCCGCATCGGGCTCCCTGCGTGGGGCCTGCTTCTCCCTCTGCCTGTGTCTCTGCCTCTCTCTCTCTCTCATGAATATATTTTTTAAAAATTAAAAAAAAATTATATGTATACGTGTATATATCTATATAACATGTAACAATATATAATGTATAATTAAATAATATATAATATACAGCTATATGTTATAACTGTAAACATATATACAATTATATAATACATAGGACATGTATGTACATTATATGTATACGTATATATGTATATATAACACATTACATTATCTATAATCTATAATCCATAATGATGTAACAGTACATAATATGTAAGTATACATTATGCATAAAATATATAATTATATAATACACAGTATATGTGTACACATAATATATTGTATTATAATTATGAGTACATATGTCGTATAATAATTATATGTATTTGTATATGTATATGTTATGTATATTCATATAGGATATATATAAAATATACACTATAAAATTTATATACTATAATAACACAACAATCTGTAACATAAAATATGTAAATCATAAACTATGAATATATAAATATAGTTTATATATTTTTGATTATAGATTATATCAAATGATCATACAATATACTATGTTATCTGTAACATATTTTATTTTGTATCTTTTGTATTTTAAATCTGTGTTTTATATATTTACATCGTTAAGTGTCTATTATGCCTTGTATGTATTTTTACATACGATTTCATGTTTTGAATGATGGAGATAATGTGTAGGTTCTGGGGGGACCTTGGGGGGGTAGGTTCTAGGGGAACCCTGGGGGGGTTGGTTCGGGGGGGCACCCTGGGGGATAGGTTCTGGGGGGGCACCCTGGGAGGGGTAGGTTCTGGGGGAACCCTGGAGGGGACCGTAGGGAGGTAGGTTCTGGAGGGGACCCTGGTGGTTTGGTCCTGGGGGAGACCCTGGGGGGTAGGTTCTGGGGGGCACCCTGGGAGGGGTAGGTTCTGGGGGAACCCTGGAGGGGACCGTGGGGAGGAAGGTTCTGGAGGGGACCGTGGGGAGGTAGGTTCTGGAGGGGACCCTGGTGGTTTGGTCCTGGGGGAGACCCTGGGGGGTAGGTTCTGGGGGGACCCTGGGGGGTGCCCTGGGGAGTTGGTTCTGGGGGGGCACCCTGGGGGGGTAGGTTCTGGGGGACCCTGGGGGAGTTAGGTTCTAGGGGGGACCCTGGGGATTAGGTTCTGGGGGGGAATCTGGGGGAGTACGTTCTGGGGGGCGACCTGGGGGTATAGGTACTGGAGGGGACCCTAGTGGGGGATAGGTTCTGGGGGGACTCTGGGGGGACCCTGAAGGTAGGTTCTCGGGGGGGCCTCATGCACCACAGGGTGACGGCCGCTGGTGATATTGTGGTCACTTGTGATAGCGCCTTGGAACGCTCACAGTCTCGGAGGTTTCAAATACGGGAGGTTTTAAAAATGATGTAATGAGCAATCAGTAAATCAGTAAATCAGTGGGGAGCTTTTAGAAAGGCAACTCATCCATGAATCACAACGAAGAATAAAATGGGGCAGTTTGGAGCGCTGGGTGCATGGGGAGAAGTCGGCCGTCCCCTCCCGTGTGGCTTCCTGGGTGTGGGCATCACCCGCCTTGCACAAGCACACACAACGTGTCCTCGGGACCCTGTGACCATCACCCCCCCACACCCCGAGGTCCTCCGTGGGGGCGGCAGGTGTCAGAGCCCCCTCAGGTTCACGGCTGAGCTCCATCCACCCTCGGGCCCCACCGCGTTGATGCGTCTCTCCAGGGCCCCAGACACGTCCCACCTTTCGCCTGCTGGATACGTGGCATGTTGTCCCAGGGCGCGGAGAGCACGATGCAAACCGCTGGCCCCTGGGGTGCAAGACGAGGGGGGAGGGTGGGTGACACGGCGACACCCCTGCGGCCTGGCAGCGAGCCACCTTCACGCGGACCCTGCAGAGCAGCTGGGCCTCCTGCAGCCGCGGGCCCGTTTCCTTGCACCGTCTCACCGATGCCAACTAGAGAGCAACGGCCACCGCCAGATGGGGGCCCAGATAGGGCGCGGCGCTGCGCGCAGGGCGGGTGCGGCTTCCCTTCCTGCGTCGTCGTTCAGCTCCGGGGACGACGCAGGGAGCCACCCAGGGCGGCACAGAGGGGAAGCAGGTGACGGACGGAGCAGGACGGCAGCACAACTGATGCGAGGCTCCCGCGGATGCACGCGGCGTGCTGGGGGTCCGCCCCACCTCCCGGGGTCCGGGGGCGCTGGGCTTCCCGTGTGGGCAGCCCCATCCCCTCCTCGGTGCCGGGTGACACGCTCTGCCCAGAACAGCGAGCGCACGGTGCACCCGCAGGAGAGCCCCCCAGATGCACAGGTGTGGGTACCAGCAGGGCTGGGCGCCCGCCGCCTTGGCACCGGCCATCCCTAGGTGGCCCTGCCATGCGCTCACTCCTCCGTGCGTCCCGCCGCCCGCCACAGGGCGGGAAAGCATCGCGGCAAGCGGGCAGAGAGCGCGCCGGCCGAGGTCCCCCACGCGTCTCCGTGCAGGCGCAATGCCCGCGGGACGGAGACCCGTGGACTCATCCGCAGACGCACACGTCTGCAGCGCTCCCCTGTGCCCGGACCAAGGGCTGATGGTTAAGACGAGCCGGGGTGCACGCAGGTGAACACCCATGGATCGGGACGCCGCGCCGTCCGGGGGCGGAGGTGGAAACCCCGCTGCCCCGCGCACGGATCCGGACGCGTCGGGATGAACGCTCCACGACGCTGAGGACCTAAAACGTGCAGAACGAAGCAGAGACACAGTCGCAGGCTCCTGGTCGCCCGCGCTGCTGACCGCGGACCCGCACTGACCCCTCCCGGGGACCCGGGCCTGGTGGCGGGGGACGCACGTGGTCCCGAACCAGACTCAGGCGGTGCCCGTGCGCCCTGGGCCGTGTGCCTGGAGCTCAGACGTGCAAACCACGTCACGGAGCACAAACATTGCCGCCGGTTGGTTAGTTACTTAGTCCCTGCTGGACGGACAGACAGCCAAGCCGCGGGCTGTGCGTCCTGCATATTGTCTGGGTCCCGTGTGCCCCAGACCCGACGGCTGGCGGCCCGGCACGCCGAGTCTGACCGCAGCTCCCTGCGCTCAGCCCCAGCTGCCCACTGACGACCCTGGTCCCTGGAGGTGGCCGCAAAACCCAGTTCTGACCACGGGTGACCTGCGAAGTGGGCCTGGGCGCATGGATGCTGACCAAAATGCTGCTGTCTTACGGAGAAGCCGAGCTCGGAGGACAGCGGGCTGCACAGCTCTTGTCCTTCTCCCGAAACTGTGACATGGAAGGAGCAGGTGCTCCCGGGGTCTCCATCCCAGGCATGGGAGCAGGTAAATGTGTCCCCAGGGGGGCAGGTTGTCTGTGACCCCTCTGCCTCCCGCCCTCCGACACCATCCAGGGGTGCCTTCTAGGCCCCGGGCTGCCTCTGGGGGCGCTCATGCTGCAGACGGCGGGGCATGCATGAGGAGACGAGTCTGCGGTTGGCAGGCCAGTGGAGCCCTCTGACCGCCGTGACCACCCCCTTAGGAGGTGCCCTGCGGGGGCTCGCGGTCTGAGGGGGATCCCCCACAAAAAGGGAACTCATGCCATTGGAAGGAACCGGGCTGTGTCCAGCAGGTCTCAGCCTGGCCTCTCCATCCCCAGCTGGGGGCCTGGGTGGGGGGGCGGACAGCCGTCCACATGCCAGGAACTGTGCGTCCTTGCCAGACCGTACACGGTGCTCTGATGAAGCCCAGCCTGGTTTCCCAGGCCCCAAGCTGCTATTTTGGAAACTGCAGATTCCTGTCCCTTGCTCAGAACCAGTCCCTGGCTCCCCAGGGCACAGGGACATCCGGTCCCTCTGGCGTCCTTACTGCTGGCCCCAAAGGAGCCAGCCGCAGAGAGTCAGTTGGCCCATACCCAGCAGCTCCCTTAGCAGCAGGATGAAACATTTCTGGGCTCTGGGGCACTTTCCAGACCCCACGAAGGACACTAGTCCATGTGTATGCCGGGTGCACGCCCCCCAGCATGACCATGGCAACGTGCATTCACAGCTGGCCTCGACTGTGCAGCTTAATGGCCACCGTCCTCATTGTTCTGCCCCGACAACAGCCACATGCATGGGGGGGGGGTGCACAGAACAGAGCTCAGAAACTCAGCCTTCATGCCTGATGCGGCCCCCAACTTGGTTTTGTCAGTAAAATTTTATTGGAATGCTACTGTGCCCGTTTGGTTACATATGGCCTCTGGTGTGTTCATGACAACCACAGAGACTGGGACACCTGGGCGGCCCAGTGGTTGAGCATCTGCCTTTGGCCCAGGGCGTGACCCCAGGGTCCTGGGATCAAGTCCTGCATCGGGATCCCCACAGGGAGCCTGCTTCTTTTTCCCTCTGCCTGTGTCTCTGCCTCTCTCTGTCTCTCATGAATAAATACATAAAATCTTTAGGAAAAAAAAAAAGAACCATGTGGATCTCAAAAGTATAAATATTCACAGTCTTCTTCCTTACGGTCGCAGTGTTCCAACCATGAGCTATAGCTGCGTGTCCACACCGGGGTCTCGACTCCAGGACGCAGGCTTGGATGCATATGGCCAATGAGGACGGATCCGGCACACAGGTATTCATCTCATCCTTTGAAGGCCGTAACTCTTGCCCTGGGGTTGTTCTACGACTGGCTGCTGGAACCCGTCCCCGTTTGGAAGTAACAGGACAGTGGATACAGGTGAATCCCATCTGGTCTGGTTGAAGACGAGAGAACTTACGTCAGGAAGACAAAGGCCCAGTGAGTCACTCAGCATCCTAGAGCTCATATCTACCGTACAGGCCCTACAGATCCGGGATCTGTTAGGTACAGCGTCCTATGGATACTGGTCCATAGCACCATCTCCCAGAAGCCCGGCAGCCTGGACTCTTGAATGGCAACCATCAACGGTGTCGTGGCGGAGATGGGCCCACACCTTCTGCAGCATCTCAGGGCCAAGACCTCGCCCGTGTGGGGCTGACCCGTTCATCATGCGTGGGAACTTCCAACACAGGACCGCCACAGTCTATACGTGCATGGCATTCGTAAATAGACAGATGGAAGAGTGGGTGGACAATAGTCCTAGGTCAATAGATGCATGATGGATGATAAATACATAGGTCCATATGATGGATGGATGGATGGACGATGGATGGATACATATGATATGATGGATGGCTAGATACATGGATACGATGGATGGATGGATGAACGGATGGTTATGATAGATAATAGAATGATAGATCAATAGGTACATATGATAGACATGCTACGATAGATGATGGATATGATGGATGTATGGGGAGATATAGATAAGTATGATAGATACATAGGTAAGTAGGTATGATGGATGGATGGATGGATGGATGATGGACACGTAGATACAGAGAGATAAGAGATGAATAGATCAATGCACTGAGGCATGGACAGATGGGTGGGGCATAGATGGATGGAGCTGATGGATGGATGGGAAGGTATGATAGATAGATAGATAGATAGATAGATAGATAGATAGGTGATGGATGTGATGGATGGGTAGATACGATGGATGGGTAGATAGGTAGAGGTGACGAACAGATCGATGGATGAAGGGTGGACAGATGAATGGGTGCACAGGTATGGAAGGACAGATAAATGATAGAGAAGATAAATATAGATCATGGCTCATAGATGACTGGCAAATAGATAATGTATGTACCGGGATGAGAGCTGGATAGACGCTGCTCGGTATTGACACATAGAGGTGGGGAGCAATAGACTCATAGGGGTAGCTGCTTAGTGATACGTACTCATAGATTTGTTTAAAGATTTATTTATTTATTCATGATAGAGAGAGAGAGAGAGAGAGGCAGAGACACAGGAGGACGGAGAAGCAGGCTCCACGTAGGGAGCCTGAAGACAGACTCGATCCCGGGACTCCAGGATCGTGCCCTGGGCTGAAGGCAAGCGCTGAGCCACCCAGGGATCCCCGATACTAATAGATATTGATAGATACGGACACACAGCTGATAGAGTGAGACATACATTCGGAAGAGCGGTGGAAGGAGATAAGTAGTTGACAACAGGTGGCCGATACTTGGACAACTGAGAGATGCGCAGAAATACAGTAGATAAATGATGCCTATGTCGTCAATGGACTGTGTGTCCCCGATGGGCAGGTGACAGAGACGCGCAGATAGGGTCTATGCAAGGCACAGGGGGGGACAGCCGAGCCTTTCCCCGCGGCAGAGCGGCCTGGCCTGAACCTTCCAGAACATCGGCCCGGCGACCGCAGAACTGTCCCCTTGCACGGAACACAGGTGCCGGACCCCGGAACGCCGCGCGCTGGCTGGCGCACCTTTCCAGCACCTTCCCCCTCCCTCCCATCGCTCAGCCGCGTGTGAATCCACCCGGTTGAGTTGTGGAAACGTCCGTGTGCACCTTGCAGCGTGAACGCGGCGCCCTGGACGCCCCCCCCACCTCCACCCCCGCCCCCCGGGGGCCGTGGAGGGACCGCAGCCAGGCGCACCCCGTGGCACGTGAAAACGTGTCGCAATGCGCACAACGCCAGGATGTGCAACGAAATATGGTCTGCTGGCCATTTTGTTTTCACTCTCTCTCTCTCTCTCTCTCTCTCTCTCTCTCTTTTTTTTTTTTTCAGTTGAAAAACACAAAACAAGACAACAGAAACAGGAATTAGGTCCCTGTGGGTGGGCGTGCGCGCTCCCCCGCCCGTGCGCCCGCCCGCGCTCCCGCGAGGGAGGAGGCTGCGGTGGCGCAGGCAGGGGCGCCTGGAGGTTGCGGGGAGGTGCGCCCCGGGGCTGCAGGGTCTCCCCGCCGCCTGGCGCGAGCTGCCCCCGCCTCCGGGGCTGCGGGGCCTGCACCCCTCCTCGGGCAGGGCGGCGGGGGAGCCTCCCGGGGGCCCGGCCCTCGACAGCGCACACCGACGGTTCGTTGCACAGGAAATTTCAAAACGAGTTTCCTCTGTACCCACCCTGCCTGCCGGGCGGCTGCGCCCCGGGAGGTGGGAGGTGGGCTCCGCGGCGCATTTGCATTCGCCGCCGGCCCGGGTGACGTGGGGCGGGAGCGCAGGCCGGGCCTCTGCTGACACGGGCCTTTCCGAGGGGGCGGCCCCTCGCCGGCCGCCGGCGGGCAGAATGAGGACGGCGGGCTTCCTGAGTGCAGGCGCCGGGGCCCCGCGCCGCCCGGCGGCCCTCTGACACTGCAGGTGAGCCCGCGCTGCGCTCGCGCCCCCCGGGGGGCGAGGGGAGGCCCGGCGGCCGCGGCGGGGTGTCGGGGCGCACGCGGGGACCACACCCTGAGCCGCGGCAGCCCCCCGCCGCGCTGCGCCCTGCCCCGGGGACCGGTGCCCAGCCGTTGGGCGCGGAAACTGCCCCCAGCAGCCACAGGGTGGAGGGCACTTGTCCGGGGGCGCAGCCTTGAACGCCACCGCGGGGTCCCTGCGGATCCCCCGAGGCAGTGGGTGTTGCAGCAGGTGCACAGCCGCCCCCCAGCACCCTCCGCTAGGTGGACTCTAGGCAGCAGGGAGTAGGGCGCCCCCCACCCCCGCGCTCCTCCGCAGCGGGTCACACGGGAGGACGCCCAATGCCACACCACGTGCTTCTCCGCGCAAACTGAACCCCGCTTCTGGGGGGGGGGAGAACCTGGTCGTGTTGCTGGTGCAGTGCACGCCCTGGGCTGCGGAGACTGCAGGGACCCGGGGACCAGGCGCTCCCCCGTCGCCCCAGAAAGACGCCCATGGCGCTGTGGGGAATGTGCCCTCCCCAGTAGCCTCCCGCACGCGCGGCCACGGAGTCTGGGGTTTTTTAATGCTTTTTTTCTTTTTAGAGGTTTCCGTGCTGCCTGCATGGTGTTTCTGTGGCCACTGGCACACCCAGCGTGGGCGCGGGTGGAGGGGTGTGTCCCTGCCATGGCGCCCAGTGCCGGTGATGGCGCCGGGGAGGATGGATGTGAGCCGCCAGAGGGTGCTGGGTTCTGCATGACGTCCCCAATATCCTGGCTGGGGCCCTGACCCGGGGTGCGGGTAGGGCAGCTGGGCCCTCTGCAAGGCTCACCTGGGACCCCTGACCTGGGGTATGGATGGGGCAGCCGAGCCCTCTGCAAGGCTCACCTGGGACCCCTGACCTGAGTGCAGGTGGGGCAGCTGAGCCCTCTGCAAGGCTCACCTGGGACCCCTACCCAACCATTCGCTGTGTTGTTGTGTTCAGGACAAGGCAGTGGTGGGCAGGAAGGGACAGTTGGTGACAGGGTAGCAGGTAGCAGGTGGGTAAACACCACTCACTGCCCCCCTGGAGAACACCTTGGCCAGGCAGGTGGGCCCTGCCATCACCCCCCCACCCTGGGTGCTGGTCCTCTGGCCCTGCCTGTGCCTCCTCTTGCTGTCACCACTGGCCAGCAATGCACCGCAGCTGCGGGTCCCCCTTTCACATCCCCCTTCATGGCTCTGGAGCCGACGGGGTGGGTGGGCAGGATCTGGAGAGTCCCACGTGCACCTGCCCCCGCGCTGCCTCCCCGACTTGGAGCCCCCAGGAGGTGATCCCCACCTGCCAAGGCCCCTCTTGTCTTCCCCCCGCCCCGGGGCCAAGAACACCACGGGGAATCGAGACCCTGTGACCGTGCTCAGGGAGCAGCTGCAGGGACGTCCCTGGGGACATTAATCTGGGCATTAAAGAAGTTGTCACGTGCCAGGCTCTGTGCTGTTTTGGGTGGAGGGGAAAAATTCAAAATATTGAGATGCAGACCTGGGCTCCAGATTGCAAGGCGCTGAGGTGGGAAGAAATCCAGGAGGGCTTCCCGGACAAGGAGGGCTTCCCTTGCCGGGTCCATGTGGCGCCAGGGATGTTGTGAATGGGAGCAGGGGCAGGGACCGGCTGTGTGTGTGTTCCGCGTGGGACTGGGGATGATCCCAAGAGGAAGGTGACATTTTAGCACCCATCCTAGAAGAGCCACGGAAGCTTCCAGAATCAAGTATCAGATACACACAGGACCAGGGCATGGTCTCTCTGATAGGGCACTGGTGGCATTCAGGCTGTTACTGTCGTGCACTGTAGGGCATTGGGTGGCGTCCCTGGTCTGCACTTGCCAGACGCCAGTACCATTTCTTCCTCCCACATTGGGCTGTCCAGAAACATCTGCAGGCATTGCCCTATGTCCCCTGGGGTGAGAGGCTAAGTTGCGACTGGTCATGAACCACTGTGATACAGATGATAGATAGAGATGGATAGGTGGATAGGTGGGTAGACAGATAATAGATAGATATGGGTGGACAGTTGGGTGGATGGATGGACTGATGGATGGATGGAGGGATGGATAGATGAAGGTATGGATGGAGGAATGAAAGAGTGGATGACGGAGGGTGAATTCATGGATAAATGGAAGGATGGATGGATGGGTTCATGGATGGATGGATGGGAAGATGGATGGATGCATGGATGGATGGATGGATAAAGGGTTGGGTAGATGGGTTGTTGGGTGAGTGCATGATCAATGGAAGGATGGATGGAAGGATGGATGGGTAGGTGGAGGGATGGATGGAGGGATAGAGGGCTGGATGGGAGGATGGATGGATGCATGGATGGATAAAGGGTTGGGTGGATGGCTTGGTTGCTGGGTGAGTGCATGGGTCAATGAAGGATGCATGGAGCACTGGGTGCATGGCTGGGTGTTGGGTGCATGGACCGATGAACCAAGAACAGACGTAGGTTGCCAGTCCCTCCGTTGGGATCTGTCTCTTACAGCAGCTGTGACAAATGAGCCCAGGCTGGCAGCAGGAATACGGGAGACGTTCTGGTGCTCCACACAGGCGATGGCCACACAGCCTGCTGGGTGCATCCAAAGCCACAGCAGTGCGCACTTTAACGTGGAGCGTTGTGTCTCGGTGTCCAAAAGAGAGGGTGGAAGAAAACAGCTGTCCGGTGCCCGTGCTCTTACTTCCTCGTCCCATGCTCTGCACGCTGTCTGCAGGACACACTGGCAGGGTGCTGGGTGGGTGCCCCGGGCTCTGACTCACGCTCACAGGAAGCTGGCGAAGGGGCGTTCCTGAAAGCCCCGCCACAAGAGGCACGGCCCCGGCTACGGCTGGCCGGTTTCCTTCCCTGAGCCCAGCCCCCTCCCAAATAAACACTGCCCTCGCCACGCCACTCGTAAGCGGGCGTGCAAACGGCGGCCCGGCCCAGTTTCTGCACGTGGGGTCTGTGCAGAGCATCCTCCCGCCTGTGGTTTTCGTTTCTAGCTCCCGCCTTCCTCGCCGCTGGGTTCTGCGCAGGCTGCTCTGCCCGGGCGCCAGGCCCTCTGCATGTCGCTGTCGGTGAAGATGGATCGTAGGGGAGAGAAGATGGGGGACCAGGGAGATTGTGAAGGGAGCAGAGAAATGTTGAGGGACGCAGACTTTTTGGGAACAGAGCTAATTGGAGATGCATGGTAAAGATCACGGCCCCGTGGTCCACATTCGGGGATCTCAGGGGGGTCACAGGGATGGGCTGAGCGCACTTTCCCCAAGCATGGTGACGGGCCACCGGGGCGCGGGCAGAGTGACCCCACTCACAGCATTTGACCTAGACTCCAGCCCAACACAAGAATCGCCCTCAGATCCTCTTTCCCACTAAGAGTAGTTTCCATTTTGCTCATCACATCAGACAACTTCCTTAGTGCCTTGTACTTGTCCTCAGACTCCGGGAGGCAGGTTGTCAACCCCAGGTCAGGTGCCCGGGACTTCCCGAATGGCACTTGGGGGACACGGGCCTGAGCCTTTACCTGGTGTCATCCCTACGTGTCCACCAGGCGTGCACCAAACACCCCACCCGCCTTCTCTGCACCCACCCAGCAGCAGACTACAGACTCCATGCCATGCCCAGGCTCTGTGACCCCTTCTCCCGATCTGGGTGTGTGCAGTAGCCCCGGCACACTTGGGTACGACCCGCCGTGTTACACCTCATGCACCCACATGGCACGCCCCACAACAGGTCCCCATATAAACACGGAGACCACAGGACTCAGCGATTCCACTCACAAGCACGTACCCCAGACAGTTCAAAACGGCCTCGAGCAGGTGCTTCATCATGGCGGCATGGTTCCCACCACCAAGCATAGGGGAAACCCAGACCCCCCATCAACGGAAGGAGGGATGAATATACGCAGAGAATGAATGGGGTGGGGCCGTGTATGACTGGGATATAAGTCAATCATTATTGGTTCTGCTGGGAGGGGCAATGAGGACGGGGATGTCCTCGTCCATTGGGGTGACCATAGCTAAACACCACAGGCAGACATTGATTCCTGACAGCTTTGGAGGCCAGAAGCCTGAGGTCAGGGTGTGGCTGATGTTGTGTCTGGGGAAAGCCCATTTCCTGGTTGACAGTGACCTCTGTGCTGCCTGCTGAGGGAGGGAAGGCGGATACCAAGTGTCCGGATACCAAGTGTCCTCAGGAAGCACCAGTGGTGCCCTGATGTGGCCTGGGGATTGAATAGAATGGGAACTACTGTCCTAATGTTGGGGGCAGGGAGGCCAGCCACATAGATTTGCCTGGGAAGCAGGGGGTCCTAAGAAGCAGGACTTTGGGAACCAGCATGGGAACAGTCCCGGCAAAATGTGTTTGGGCGCTGAGTGGTGGACCCCGAGAGTATGTGTCCATGTCCCAATCAGCCAGAAGCTGTGGAGATTATGTGGAAACAGGGTCTTTGCAGATGGGATGACGGGAAGGCTCTGAGATGAGGTCATCATGGATCAGGTGGCTTTAAAAGCAACGAGGGGGGTCCTTGTAAGACGCAGAGGAGGAGACACAGACCCAGAGGAGGAGACACAGACCCAGAGGAGGAGCCATGTGAGGATGGAGGCAGAGATGGGAGGTGCAGATACAGGATAAGATTGGATAGATAGCTAGATAATAGGTACGTGGAGATGGAGAGCGAGATGAGAGATGCATAGGTGGATGGATGGATGGAGGGATGGAGGGATAGAGGGATGGATGGATGGAGGGAGGGATGGATGGATGGATGGAGGGATGAATGGATGGAGGGATGGATGGATGGATAGAGGGATGGATGGATGATGGATGGATGGATGATGGATGGATGGATGGATGGATGGATAGAGGGATGGATGGATGGATGGAGAGCTGGATGGATGGATGGATATAGGGACGGATAGATAGATACACATAATAGGTGGTTAAATACAATGGATGGATAGATAGATACATAGATATGATG